TTCTAATTCATTCATACAACTCCATACACTGAAATATGAATTGGTGAAAGTACATCTTCCCAAATGACTCAGATTATACCAAGTAGGTTTAAAAGTAGGTTTAGAGTGGAAGTTGCTCAGAAATCAAATGAAAAACATCTCCTAATATATTAATAATATAATAGAACTGTAATATCATAAATGCAATTAAGGAGTAAAATATTTAATAAAACTTAAAGTTGTACAACTTCCACTTATACTAAGAAAAAGTACCTGGGGGGGGGGGGGGGATGTACATCTCCAAATATTTCCAATAATTTCATTTTAATTGGGCCTAAAAGTTATTAGAGCCAGGAAGAAAAAAAAAAACTTAATTGAATTTCTAAGATATAAAAAGGCACATCTAACAGAAAAAAAACAAGTACATTCTTAAGGTTAATTTTGGCTGTGTTGATAGGGAAAGGAAATGAAAGGAGGGGGCAGGGTTGCTGGGAGAACAGGAGAACAAAGATAACACAACAATAGGCTAATTAGTCCTTACACCCCAGAGGGGGGATTGCTTCCTCCAGAAAGGCTGTTGGAAACAAAGGTCTCCCCCATTAGCAGTGGAATCTGGGTGAAGGCTCCCTTCGCTGAGAGACACATGGGTGACCCCTGACACCAGTGCACGTTGTGAATGCAACTGGGAGGTGGAAACACAGGAAGTCTCTTCTTCAGGAAGCGACTCCCATCTCCAGGGACCTGTGGGGCCCGATGATGCAATAAGCTTGGCACAGCGTTATCCAGACTAATGGGTGAAAACAGAGGAAGAAATAACACGGAGATATGAAATCTCCCCTACTAGAAGCGAGATGTTGGCAGGCAATATATATGGAGAATTGTTTTTAATAATGTTGGAATCCCCGAAATAGTCTGGTGATGAATTCTTCCAAAGTAAATTAATCACATACCAAAAACCATCCACAAAAGTACTCTCAGTAGTATTCTTTCAATCCATTGCAATGATTATAAAACAACTAGGGATTGGCTGTGACAACACAATGGCTGGCCTGTGTCATTTTTTTTTTTAATTAAACAAGCGAAAAATAAAATTTTAGTTAATAAACATATAATCACTGTTAGTAATATTTTAAAAAATCAAATTTAAACTCCAAATTAAATATAGAGTATCCACAAACAATGTTTACACACACTGTGAAGAATATAAAGGCAGTTTTTATTAAAATACATTTCATTTTCAACACTGAGCTATCTGCTGTTAAAAACGTGTGTATACATTGTTTGGCAGTACCTTGTCGTTGTGTATTTTGTTCACAAGAAAGTCAATAAGACTGACACCGTGTCCTCGCTATGCAAAGGTCAGTGTGATTTTATTTTTTAACTCTATTTGCCCTCATTTGGATGATTAGAAACCATGGTGTAAACAAAAACATAAGATTTTTCCCCCCACTCAATTCTCTAGCTCCTGCCCAGTTTTCCTAACAGTATGCATAGTATTTGACTCTACTTTCCTCTCCGGCATTCTCTAACATTCTCTCCTGAGGAAGAAGGGAAATACCAAGCCTCTGCTCTACTTCCACCTGAGATGGGAGAGAACCACCTGCCAGACACAGCAGTAGGTCTCCTGGGCCCAGTGAGAGGCACCTCGCTAGCTCTCTGGGAGTCTCTGTGGGAGCACAGCCCCGCCACCACTGTCCTAAGAAGTGGCAAGGGACCAGGAAGTGGAGAGAAATCATCCCAAGAAAGGAGAGATACTAGATCATTAGCCACAGTGTTCAAGTCCAGATGTGCCCTGGAGCAGCAGGCTTGGGCTACAAGCAGCTGTATGTGGGTGACCAAAGAGCAGATGAAGGCTTATGAAAGTGTCAAGGAAAATACACTTTGGGGATCCTGATCTCCAATATTCCACCCCTCCCCCACGGAAATGTGTGTTTTTTTTTTCTTTTCTTTTTTTCCAGTAGATTTTTAAAAATATATTTTATTGATTTTTTACGGAGAGGAAGGGAGAGGGATAGAGAGCTAGAAATATCGATGAGAGAGAATCACCCATCAGTTACCTCCTACACCCCCCCCCCCCCCCCCCCGGGGATGTGCCCACAACCAAGGTACATGCCCTTGACCAGAATCGAACCTGGGACCTTCAGTCCGCAGGCCTATGCTCTATCCACTGAGCCAAACTGGTTTCGGTGGAAATGTTTCCTTAAGAGTCACTGTCTCAGTGGATAAACGACTGAGTGTCAGGTTGGCATTGCAGGAATCATAGCTTAGAGCCTCCCTGAAAGTGTCTTCCTCAGAAAAGGGCCTTGAGGGTCACAGATCCTGCCCACAACCTACCTATCGTGTGGAAGATTACTCACCATGGCTTTTCCTTTATACAAACATACTGTCAGAATTTCGTCTTCCAAGTAAGTATTTATATGATCACCTCCTTAGTTTGTTGCTTTAGAAATACTATAATTTTAAAAATCTATTTTAAAATATCTTCAAGTTAGTAATTATTGTCTGTTATTCTCTTTTTACCAATGCAATTATTCACACATTCCAAACTACTCCACAATGGAATTTGTTTATCAGTTCATTTCTTTGTCATCTCCCATTTCTTTGAAATACATGATTCCATCATTTGATTTAGATTTCTTCCCTTTTTTTTAGTAATTTTTTTTTATTTTTAAAGAAATAGCTTGTGCCTGGCAGGTGTTGCTCAGTGGTTAAGCATCAACTAATGAACCAAGAGGTCATGGTGCCATTCCTGGTCAGGGCACTGCCCAGGTTTCAGGCTGGATCCCCATTGGGGGGCATGCAGGAGGCAGCCATTCAATGATTCTCTCTCACCGTTGATGTTTCTATCTCTCTCGCTTTCACTTCCTTCCACTCTGAAATCAATAAAAATATATTTTTTAAAAAAATAAAGAAAAAGCTTATTTCATATGAGTTACTTGGGAAAATGTAGATAATATTTAATTTCATGAATTTCATTCATTCAAAGGACTTTGGCACACTATTACAATTCATGAAAGACAGCCCTCTACTTTTATTCAGTAAGTGGTAAAAGTTTGACTGTTTGATATATGACACCATTTTGAAAATTGTAGTCTTTACATGTTGCTCAAAAACATACAACAATCCTTTGAAATCATTTCATTGAGGATGAAATTAAAGTTTAGCATTTTATTTGCATGTAAATGCTGAACCAAATCTATTTCAGGAAAGACCAGGCTTACTTTTGTTATTAAGACTGAAGACTGTTGCCATATAAAGTTTGGTTTGTTTTTTTCATGAAAAAAAAAATGGTGATACGTGGTGCAGCATATTTCCACTGAGGGTTGAGAGAGGAAGTATCCTATATATATAATCCTATATATAATTTATGACCTTTAAAATTCTAAAGAACAGAAAAAAAATAAATAAAATAAAATTCTAAAGAACAGGACAATGCTACATACTTTATGACAAGGTCATTTACCAGTTTGTTCCTGTTAGTGTCTTCCTAGTGGAGGAAACATATTGGAATGTTTAGTAGATGCTTCTAGTATGAACATTCTTGCAGACACTGTTAATTTCCTATGGACTATAAATACCATTAGGTTTCATGAGTTCTCCTCTGGATATTGCTGTGCAAATGAGAACTTCAAAATGATGCACTTCCTGAAATCCATTCACTCTACGCACAAACAATCGAGGCCACCGATTTCTGAGGAAGAATCTATCTCAGACAAAGTGAGACTGACAGCCAAGCAAAGGGCGGAAGTGGGGAGTTTTCCGCAGCTTAATGCCATTCAGGACCGCGGACAGCTCCCCGCAAGGCCTGAAGTTGATGGCCATTTCCCTGTGTTTCTAAACGTAACTCCAAAGTAATCTGCTTTGTATTGATGTACTTGTTTGCTGTTTCACAGACACCTGCTTAGGCGGCTTCAGTGTGCTCGCACACTCCTTTCGCTGGTTCTTTTTCGAACCAGTTCAGTTAATTCATTAATGAGTTAAGGCCACCCCCCTGATGGTGATTAGATTTTCGTGAGCGTTTTTTTCATGGAAAGCCAGCTTACTCCGGAGCTAAAATAAAGTGGCTGCGGGTGTGCGCTCGCCAATAAGAGGATCTACTCCACGACCTTCACTCGATAATCTCTAACCATCAGCAGAATGAATACCTGGGTGACAAATAAGAACAGGAAACGTCTTCGTTTTAAGTCTCCGAAGCAGCTAGCCACCCTGACAGCTGACAGCTCCCTGCCCTAGTTCTCCAGCTGGGGAACCGGGAAGGAGGCGTCTGAAATAGACTGGGAGTCAAGGTCAAGAGAGGGTGTCCCCGGTTTCAGGAAGGGAGTCTGGGAACGCCGGCGCCTGTGTCAGGCTGAGCTGCGGTCACGCTCCCGCCCAGCCAGCCCCTGGGTGCCCCGGGCACCCAACGCTCCAGCCTCCGCTGCGTGCAGCGCACAGCCCCGCGGCCAGCCTGCCAGCCCCCGTGGGCACAGGTGCACCAAGATGGCCAGCGCCTGTGCCTGGGATACAGATGGGTGGACACTCCCGGAGGAGCGGGGACCTGTGGGTGCCTGTCCCCCGCTGGCCGTCCCCGCTTCTGCTCAGCCCCGGAGCGCCCTGTCCTTCTGGGGAGGGACACACTTCTGGGGGGAGGACAGCACGGACCCCCCAAACCACTCTCAGGCGCCTTCCTCACGGTGTCCTCTCCCAAGGAAAAGTTTCCTGGCACAACTTTGCGTCCTCCCACCAGGGTCCCTGTGGCCTTTTTCTCCGTTGGGTCCGCAAAGTTGGCGAGGCAAGAGGGGGTTGGGGTGGGGGAGCTGGCTCAGGGTCTCAGGAACTCCGTCCTGGGTGGAAACTAGTTGGAGAACGGGGCTCAGTCCCATTGGGGACTCCCACGGCGCCAGCCTCGCCCTCCCGGCGCCTCGGCTGCCCCCCTCGCCTCCCCAGCCCCGCCGCGCCCTCCCCGCGCCCGGAGCCCGGAGCCCGGAGCCCGGGGCGCGGGGCGCGCGGGGCCCCCTCCGGGGCGCGCGGGGAGCCGGTACCTGAAGTCGCTGTAGGGGTGGATGATCCAGAAGCCTGCAGTTTTAACCCTTTCCTGCTCCTTTTCCACCGCCTTCTGGCTGCCGAACATGCGGAGGGAGAATTTGTTGACGCCGGGCTGCAGCATGGAGGTGAACTGCCGCTGCATGAAGCCGTACTGCCGCCGGGGCCCCTCGGCGTCCTCCAGGCCCCCGGCCGGCTCCTCGCCGCCGCCGCCGTCCACCTTGAAGCACACGGAGTTGCCCAGCTCCTTGGCGCCCGGCCCGCCGCCGCCCCCCGCCGGGCTGCCCAGCCCCTTCTCGGCCCCGCTCGAGCCCGCGCCCGTCGCGGGCGGCTTGGCGGGGAAGACGCTGTTGCCATCGTCCCGGCTGCTGGACGACGAGTTGGGCTTGCAGCCTCCTTCCATGCCCGGAGGACGCGGCGGCGGGCGGGACGCGGCGGCACGGGCTGCACCCTCGCCGGGGGCTGGCGGCTGCGGGGCGGGAGGGGGCGAGCCGGCGGCCCGGCTGCCCGTCGCGGCGGCAGCGGCGGCGGCGGCGGCGGCTGCTGCTTCCCGCCCGCCCGCCCGCTGCTCGCTGCGCGCTGGCTCCGCCGCCGCCGCTGCCCCGGTGGCTGCTCGGTGCGCGGGGCTGGGCTGGGCTGGGGCCGCCGGAGCCGGAGCCGGAGCCGCCGCTCAGCCCCGCAGCGCCGCCCCGCGGCTGCCCCCTGCCGGCCGGAAGGGTCTGCACGCCGCACACGCCGCTGCTCGCTCCGCTTCTGCCCAGCGTGTGACATTGAACTTGGAACCCTGGGAGGCACTTCATCTTACACGATGGGAGAGTGGGCGGCGTCTGTGTGTGCAAAGAGGAGGGAGGCGGACTGAGCTGGCGGGTGTATGTTCACCCAAGAGAAACACACGTCCTGAACATCACTGGGTCACTGTCACCCTGTTGGGCCGCCTGTGTGAATGGGGTTACAGACGGGGAAAGGGACAGGGGGTGGCCGGCTTCGCAGGCAGGAAATGCACGAGAAAGTAAGATTTGCCAAATGGATGATAAGTTGCATGAGCAGAAGGGAAGTTCAGTGTGTGAGTGTGTGTGTGTGTGTGTGTGTGTGTGTGTGTACATGTATGCGTTGGGAGGCGAGAGCAGACAGCAGAAGCTACTGTGTCTGGGTAACCCCGATTAGTCAGCCACTTAGGGCTTTTCAGATGGAGCTCTGTGCCCACTGACAACTGACCTCTTTCCTCTTATCCCTGCTTATTCTCTCAGGCCTCCCTAAGCAGGGGATGGGATGTCTTTCTCCCCGAGGCCACGCACACCAACACACCTGCCAGCAGGTAGGTAGGCCGCCTTCCATGACACAGAAGTGTGCTGGGGAGTCCTGGCCTGAGCCGACCTATCTTTCAGGCAAGTTATGGAATCAGTGAGACCCAGAGAGAGGCGTGCGTGTTGGTTAGTGTCCATCTACACCTGGCCAGGAGCGAAGGGGACTCGGAATTTAGGCAGAAAGCAATCACCGCTTAGATGGAGAAGAGTTTCCTCAAATGAAATCTATAGGGTGCTTGCTATTAAGGCTGTAGCAGGCATGCAGGGATCCTCTTCCTCCCTCGGTGTCTCCCAAACCCCCCGGATTAGTGACAGGAAACAAGATGTACTGCCAAGCTCACCAGTCACTCAGCGGGGCAGCCCAGCATGTCCCCAAACAGTCTTGAGGCTCCCCCTTCCCCATCCCCCTGCCCTGCTGAGTGGCTGGTGAGCTGGCAGTACATCCTTCTCTTTCCAGTTAGGAGCGGAACAATGTCTATTTTAACATAAATCTTAAACGCTATGGTAATGTAAAGCTATACCCTCTAACTTGGTATGCTTAACTGAATTTAAGTCGCCTTCTCTTTTCTTCTAGCCAACCCTATTTGGTTCTGTTTCAACGTCATCTTAGTCATGACCAGGCAGTTATTTTAAAAACGGCAGCATTTTTCTGACACCAGCATTGTCTTCCTGTCCACAGCCTGTTCCAAGGAAACCCTGCCCTGCCAAGCATCCCTGGTCTCAGGGGTCCTGTCTGCTGCAGCCACATTTGGTGGGGAGAGGAGCGGGCACCTCAAGGAGAGAATCTGTGACACGCCGACCACTGATGGCCTGGCATGACAGAGAGGAAGCCGACTAGCAATGGGAGAAGCAAGAATGAGGACAAAGGAAGAGACCTGGATGCCTTCACTGGGGTTGAGCAGGGCAGAGAGAGGGAGCAGAGAGCAGAGGAAAAGGCAGGGGAGAGCAGAACCAAGAAGCCATTAGGCCCAACTGCATTCTAATTTTTTTTTATGATTTCCCTAACCATTCTACTTACCGCAACCTATGCTAAGTCCTTCAGGGAGTCCCATCCTGACTCAGATGCCAAATGTTTTCAACTCATCAAAACATAAAATCCTAAGGAAACAGTATAGGTGGCTAACTAGCAATGGTAAGAAATAGGAAACATGGGAACAATATTGTGCTGTGACCTACCAAAGCAGGGACTTTGGAAACACAAAAGGCCAGAGGAGGACAGCAGATGCCAAGGGCCAGAGAAGCAAGGGGATGGAAGAAGCAAGTGTGCCTAGAGCCCAGCTCTTCCCAAGGAAGGCCCAGGCACCCAGGCATTTGCGTTACTAGACCATTCTGTATGCTTCTCCAACCCCTCTGTTTTTAGTTAGGAGTGGAACAATGTATATGTTAGCATAAATTTTAAATGTTATAATAATGTAAAAATATACCATCTAAAATGTTATGCTAACTGAGTTTAAGTCACTCTCTCTTTTCTTTTAGCCAATCCTATTTGTTCTATTTCAACTTCATCTTATGCAGGACCAGGCAGTTATTTTGGTCAGAATTTTTCTTGATTTCAAGGTCTGTACTGAACTAATATGACAGAACTACTAAAAAGCCAGTTTTCAAAATATAACAAGGAAATAGCTAAATAGGGTCACAGTCATTGGTTGGTCCAGGTGCAGCCTGTAGGTCCCTTTTCATTCATTCTCATTCTCAAAATACGCATTTTTACAATTTGGGGATTGTGTATGATACTCATTTATTAAGGCTGTCAGCGATAAAAAAAAAAAAAGTCAAGTTTCTTTACTGTACTTTCAGATTGTTGACTACAAACCATTTAGAATGTGAACTTAAACAAAAAAACTCCCTCTGAAAAGAGAGAACTGGCAAGGAGATTAGGAGTGAAACATACAAAAGAATGAAAACAATGAGACAGGCAGAATCAGCAAATATGTTTTAAAATGGGATTCGGTTGTGAAACTAGACTTCCAGTGGCTAGAACAAATACATGTCTCTCTTTGTTTAATTGTTCCATTCTATTTCTGAACCCACTGAATGAATTAGAACAGTTTTTTGAGCAAGAAAGAAACCAGGGGCTGATGACCATTTGCTCAGCAGGGGTGAGTGAGGAGATGAGAATCACAGAGAAGAGCAAGTTAGGCTCTGCTCGCCTTTAGCTTTCCACTCTCCAGCCCCAGATCTAAGTCTTACCTTCCCATTGTCACTTCCATTTTTCCATCACCTCTCCCTTCCCTAACCCACTCCAGACACATATGGACCACATCTCAAGACAGGCCTGAAATTTGAGGATAACCTCTTCTTAGCATGTCTGTTGATTAGAGTGGTAGGTTTTGTTGTTGTTGTTGTTGTTGTTGTTGCTTTCAGTCATCTTAAAAATAGGACTACCATCATGTTTGACTCTATGTCATTCGATGTCCATGTTGTCAAGCAAAGTGCCTGGTATTTGAGAGGGATCTAATATCTGAGGAATAATCTGAGACCATCAATTACAAATTTATTTCATGAGCATGGCCCAACAGTAGTCGGAATGGGTGCTGTTCAGGGCATCCCAGGATTATGCATCTTTTAAACAGTTCCCTGTTTCCTTTAATACTCTGCTTAAAATCAAATTGCAGGCAGCAGCAGCAGAAGATTCATATGAAACTAAAATAAAATCATGCAGCAGACACAGGCAAGTATAAAGTGAGACAGAAAAGATAGATGGGCGACTTGAAGTTTGACAGCTTATCAAAAAAGTCTCAGTAGAACTTAAAGGTTTAAAAAATAAAACACGTTAGTCCTCTTAGTAGGATACAGAAATAGGTTAAGCATGCATGTCACGTGTAAGGAAACAGTGCTAACTCTGTCTGTGTTAAAGAAAGCAAAAGAATAGTTGACCAAAGGCAACCTCACAGCCTCGGTGAGTCTTATGCTCAGGGAAACTCAATTATCCATCTGGAGAGCATCCAGCAATATCATGCTTATGGGAGGCATCGGAGCTGCTAAAGTCAGAGCAGGACACTCAGACCCAGCATGCCTGCAAAGTGTAATATTTTTAGTTGATAATATTGCTTCCCTGGAGACCCAGAAGAATCAACAGTATAATCATTATAGTTAATAACAAAATTTGGAAAGTAAAAACAGAGTCAACATGGAAACATTATATTAAAAGTGAAAGGATGGAAAGAGATAGTCCATACAATAGTAACCTAAAGAAGGCAGGGATGGTTATACTAATATCAGAAAAGATGGGCACATATAAGAATCAACCAGTGAATGCATGAATAATTGGAACAGCAAATGGATGTTTCCCCTCTCATCAATAAATTAAATAAATAAAGTTATGAGATAAAGGACATTATTTATTAATAAAAGAAAATACAGTAAAAATATTTAACAATTATAAACTTTGTACACATAACAGATGCATATATATGAAGCAAAAACTGGCAGAATTAAAGGGGAAAATGAATACATTTTCAGTAATAGTTGAAGATTTCAATATCCTACACCAAATAATGGATAGAACACCAGATAGAAAATAAGCAAGGAAACATACAACTTAAGTAACATAATAAACCAATTAGACATGACAGAACATTCTATACAAGAACAGCATACACTTTCTTCTAGGAGATTTGCTAGGCCACAAATTAAGGGTTCTCAATTGTGCTTTAAAAATAGCTATCATACAAAGTACCTCTTCTGCCCACAACAAGAAGTTAGAAATTAATAACAAAAATAAAACTAGAAAACTTACTAATGTGTGAAAATTAAGCAACACACTCTTAAACAACCAATGGATCAAAGAAGAAATCACAAAGAGAGCTGGAAGAACCAGACAAATATACTACATGAAGAGAAAACTACAGACCAGTATTCCTTATGAACACTGATGCATAGGTCCTCAACCAAGTAACAGTAAACCAAATATAGCAGCATTTTAAAAGAACTATGTATCTTACCAAAGGATTTATTCCTGAATGCAAGGATGGTTCAACATGCAGAAATCATTTATTGTAATACACCACAGTAACAGAATGAAGGAAAAACATGTAGTATTTCACATGTAAGGACATACATAGTGGTGATTTCGAATGATGAAAAAAGTCATTTGACAAAATCCATTATTTCAAATGATGAAGAAAATCACTTAGTTATATCAGAAAAGATGGGCACATATAAGAATCAACCAATGAAGGCACAGCAAACATCATATCAATGGTGA